CTGGGCAGCTCCTGCTCCAGGGCAGCGAACAGGCCCGTGGGCAATGCGCCCTCGCTCCCTCTCGACCGCCCTCGCTCCTCCCCCTCCTGTGTTCGGATCCATCGCGCTGTGCCCCTCGCCGCGCCCATACTCCTCCTGCTCGGTGCCGTCCTTCGTGGCTCTGCTACTCATCACCATCGTCAGCAGCAGCAGCATCATCCTCCTCCTCATCATGATCATCAGCATCATCATCCTCAGCATCATCATCAGCAGCATCAGCAGCATCATCATCATCAGCAGCATCAGCAGCAGCATCAGCACCATCAGCATAAATCGTTAGCCTCATCAGAATCATCAGCATCATCCTCATGTCCATTATCATCAGCAGCAGTAGCATCATCATCGTCAACAACAACAACAACAACAACAACAACAACAACAACAACCACCACCACCACCACCACCACAACAACAACAACAACAACAGCCACAACAACAACAACAACAACAACCACAACAACCATAACAACAACAACAACCACAACAACAGCAACAGCAATAGCAACAGCAGCAACAGCAACAGCAACAGCAAAAGCAGCATCAGCATCATCATCATCATCCTCATCCGCACCATCATCCTCATCTTCATCCTCATCATCGTCCTCCTCCTCCTGCTCCGTTTCCTCAATTACTTTCCTTATCCAAGAATCCTCCCTGTCGCACCCCGAGGCCAGTCGGAAGGGCGGGCCGGGCGTTTCGCATGAGGCTTCCTTACCACTTATGATCCTGGAGCTTAAAATTACAACAGTTTGCCACATGAAGGACGGACTTGATTGGAAATGTTGCTCTCGCCATAGTGTCTCGAGCACTCGTCCAAAAAATGCAAGAGGTTCACTGATGGAAGGCGGGTCGTTTTCAAAATGTGGGCCTCTCATTAGCACCGCGCACATTCTTTTCAAAAATAAGAATTTCACGGATTGAGGGTAAGCCGTTTTCAAAAGATGGCTGTCGCCTTCACGCCGCGCACATTCGTTACAGCCTCTTGCAACAGTTTCACGGCTTGAGGGCGGGTGGTTTTCAAAATGTGGCTATCGTCTTAGCGCCGCGCACATTCGTCTTAGAATTGGTAAGCGCTTCACGGATGGAGGGTGCATTTTGTTATTGAAAAGTGGCTCTCGCCTTAGAGCCGCGCACAGTAGGTTGAATCAGCCTAGCGAAAGATCCAACCATATGCAATAGTGAATACCGCAATTGTGGGTATCGTCTTCTGTGGAGCTCCCTCTGGGGCCACGAAACGCTGTACTGGGCGGGGGAACCGCATGCGGACCGCGCCACGGGGACCTTCGGTGGAGCCCCCTATGGGGCCACGAAACGCTGCACTGGCGGTAAAAAAATACCATGCGAGCTGCGCCACGGGGACCTTCGGTGGAGCTCCCAATGGGGCCACGAAAAGCTGTACTGGGCGGGGGAACCGCATACGGACTACGCCACGGCGACCTTCGATGGAGCCCCTCTGGGGCCACGAAGCGCTGTACTGGGAGGGGGAACCGCATGCGGGCTGCGCCACTGGGACCTTCGGTGGAGCTCCTTGTGAGGCCACGAAACGCTGCAATGGGTGGGGGAACCGCATGCGGACCGCGCAACTGTGACCTTCGGTAGAGCTCCCTCTGGGGCCACGAAACGCTGTACTGGGCGGGGGAACCGCATGCGGACCGCGCCACGGGGACCTTCGGTGGAGCTCCCTACGGGGCCACAAAACGCTGTACTGGGCGGGGGGGGCCACAAGCGGACCGCGCCACGGGGACCCTCGGTGGAGCCCCCCACGGGGCCACGAAACGCTGTACTGGGCAGGGGAACCGCATGCTGACTGCGCCACTGGGACCTTCGGTGGAGCTCCTATGGGGCCACGAAACGTGTGAGGGGTGTGCCGAAGTGAGGGAGGTGACGGGAGGAGGGAGGAGGGGGAGGATGAAGGAGTGAGTGAGGAACGCGGGGGGCGCTGTCTCTTCAAAACGAGGACCCAACACCACAGGATGGTTGGAAAAGATGCAAGAACTTAAAAGATTGAGGGCGGTTCACTTTCAAAATGTGATTCTAGCTATGGCGCCGCGCACACTCATCTTAAACATGTGCAAGAGTTTCACGTGTTTCCATGATCCACGTACCAGGAATTGTTGTTCTGGAACGGTTCAGGATTGTCAGGCCGCATCAGTTACGTAGATTCGCTGTGTTGACGTCCCAGGGTTGGTGATCTGGCACCTTTCGGGATCGCCAAAACACAACAATCGTGTTGATTCGTGGCATTGGGGTCCCGAGCATGGTGTTTTGGCGCGCTTCAGGATCTTCAAACGGTTGTCCCCCAATGGGGCACTTTCCTCAGTGGGGATGAATCCTTGCAGGGACCTATGAAGAGGGAGCCTAGAGGGAAGGTACATTACAACATCGTCGGTGAGCATTGGGTTCCATTGGTCCTCCTCCTCCTCCTCCACCTCATCATCCTCCTCCTCCTCCTTCTCCTCCTACTCCTTCCCCCTCGTCGTCGTCGTCGTCGGTCGTCATCTTCGTCATCATCAGCAGCAGCAGCAGTAGCAGCCGCATCAGCAGCATCATCATCATCATCAGCAGCAGCATCATCATCATCATCAGCAGCATCATCACCATCATCAGCAACAGCCTCAACCTACTTTTCATCATCAGCAGCGACAGCAGCCGCATCACCTGCATCATCATCATCAGCAGCAGCAGCAGCAACAGCAGCATCGTCCTCATCATCATCGGCAACATCAGCATCACCACCACAATCAGCATCGTCATCTGCATCGCAGTTTGTCATCACCGCCACCATCAGCAGATTCGTCGACATCATCATCAGCATCGTCATCAGCCGCATCATCATCAGCGTCATCAGCATCGGCATCGTCATCATCAGCATCATCAGCATCATCGTCACCAGCAGCATCATCATCTGCATCAGCATGATCAACATCATCACCAACAACAGCAACCGCAGCAGCATCATCATCATCATCATCATCATCATCATCATCATCATCATCATCATCAGCATCAGCATCAGCATCATCATCATCATCATCATCATCATCAGCATCAAGAGCAGCAGCATCGTAACCATAACCATTAGCATCATCGCCAGCATCAGCATCCGCATCATCATCCTCTGTCATCATCGTCGTCGTCGGCGGCGGCGCCATCATCGACCGCGTCCTCATCCTCATCCTCATCATCATCATCATCATCATCATCATCATCATCATCATCATTATCATCAGCAGCAGCAGCAGCAGCATCTGCAGCATCATCATCTGTATCGTCGGCATCGTCGTCGTCGTCATCATCGTCATCATCATCATCATCATCGTCATCATCATCATCCTCATCATCATCGACAGAATCATCATCATCAGCATCATCATCATCATCAGCGGCATCATCAGCATCATCCCCATCCTCATCATCGTCGTCGTGGCCGTCGCCATCACAAGTCGTTGTGGCGTGTAGATCATGACGAAGCGGCATCGAAAGCATCATCAGTAGCAGCAAGCATCACCATCATCAACGACAACACCATCATCGTCTTCATCATCCTCGTCGTCGTCCGCATCATGCTCATCATGATCAGCATCGTAATCGTAATCGTAGTCGTCACATTACCATCATAACAGAAACATGAGCATCATCGTCGTGAACAACACGGTCATCGGCATCGTCGCCACATCATCATCATCATCATCATCATCATCATCATCATCATCATCATCATCATCATCATCGTCATCATCATCATCAGCACTACCATCTGCATCATCATCAGCAGCACCAGCACACTCATGCTCATGATCATCACGACCGACCTCATCATCATCGCCCTCAGCGTTATCACAACATCGTCATCATAATCGTGATGTGATTCATCAGCATCAGCATCATCATCCTCATCATCATCGTGATCATCATCATCATCGTCTTCATCATCGTCATCATCATCATCACCATCATCACCATCGCCATCGTCATCATCGTCGTCATCATCATCGTGATCATCATCCTCATCATAATCATCATCATCGTGATCGTCATCCTCATCATCATCATCGTCATCATCATCATCCTCGTCGTCATCATCATCACCATCGCCATCCTCATCTTCATCCTCATCCTCATCCTCACCCTCATCCCCTATCGCCCTCTCCCTCGACATCGTCGTCCTCCTCGTCGCTCTCGTCTCCGGCATTGTCGCCCCGTCGTCACCACCACCGTCACCATCGCAAGACCACCACCGCCGCCCTCCACCACTCCTCGCACCGCGCGGGCGCGCACCCGCGCCTGCCCTCTCCGCGACCCCGGGGGGTCCGAGAGGCACGACGGCCCCGCGCGGCTGGGCCCGCCTTGAACTCCTCGTTCATCCGCTGGATGTCGGCCTGCGACCCAGCGTCGGCCGAGCGCTTTGGCGGCGAGCCCAGGGTAGGAACAAGGAAAGGCGACACCAACACCAACAGGGCGAGGAGATACGAGGAGGCAAGAGGGAACTCCCTGGTGGTGTGGTCCCCCCCTCTAGCTCGAGACATCCCCAGCCTCCAGCTCGGAGAGGCATCGTGGACCTCCTCGCTGGCGGTGGGCCCCCTGGTGGTGTTGGTATCGCTTCTCCTCCCTCCGACAGGGGGGAAGGGAACAGGAGGAGGCCTTCTCCGAAGGCTCGGGAAAGTCCCCTGGGCCTCCTGACAGGTTTCCTCAGCTCTTTCAGGAGGCGCGGCAGGCCCCTCAGAGGGCGCGGGGGCTCCTGAGAAGCCCCGCCGCCTTCAGAGAAAGCCCTCTCCTTCTCACTTCCCCCCATCCGTGCGCCGCCGAGATTGGTTTTCGGGTCGTAACTCGCGGGTCTCTGGCGCCCGTTCGGGACGACCGGGGCACCCATGGAACGCCATCGGCGAGGTGCAGCTGCTGGAACACATCCCGAAGCTGGAAAACCGCCGAGCGCCGATGAAAGCACGCGAAACCCTCGAACC